AGACTTGGTTATTCCAGCTTGCAGGACTGGCCTAGGGTAATTTTTAGAGGGGTTTTAATTATATTTTAAATTGGACAATATTTAAATATCTCTTTTAATTAATTTTAAATTTGTATTGTTATTTATGTATTTTAATTGATTGTCAGCCGCCCTGAGTCCTACGAGGAGAAGGGCGGGATATAAATCCAAATAATAATAAAAAAATAAGTGGAAAAAAGGTAGGCAAGGTAGATGACTTGTCTTTCAGGGAGCCCATAGAGGACAGCACCTGATAACTGAATGGAACGGTGGCATGTCCACGGCAGAATTAAATGGCCAGCGGGAACTGGGCATATCTTTGCCCCTGACCTTCATCATCATCACCCTTGTGTCCACAGTACTATAGACTGTTTATATAATAAGATGTGTACTCTACGAAGGGGGAGAACACTTCAACAGTGAAGCAGTGATTATCAACTCAATGCTTGCCTCTACAGTGGTCTGGAAATGAGACAGAGGAGACATCATGAGGAGAGGATTCCTAAGGAGACATGAGGAGAGGATCCTTAAAAACAGAGAGCAAGGCATCTTTGTTCATAATTAGAAAGAGAGAATGATCCCCGTTCTGAATAAATGTCTGTTTTAGTGCTTGCTAGGTTTGTGGGAAACTGAGGAATGAAGGAACTATAGGAAAGATGAAACAGCCTGCTAATTTACAAGTTCTTTGTGTGCACGGGGCTTTCTACAACAAATGTTGCATAATTTCTGGGGGGGAAAAGGCTTTTAAAGTGCAGTGTTACTAAACTCATAGTAGTAAGCTTTAAACTGAGCAGTATGATTTGGTTTGTTACAATGAAGGAATAGGAGGTGCATACACACACTTCAGTTGTGGTTTGTAGCTTTGTTACATGCAAACTGACTTCCATGTTGTGAGATCTAACTTGGAAATGAGAAATAACCCATAGATTTTGAATTGCTTTAGATCATAAAAGAGTAAAACTACTTAACTTTCTTTTGCCCAAGTAAATTTATGCTGTAATCCTAGCTCCTGATTTACTAAAAGTTCTGTGGCCTGAATCCTAAGAGTAAATAATAAGAACGAGCCAAGTTTAAATCTTGTCCTTTTTCCATCCTAGGGGATATTTCATTTCATTTCATTCTTATTTTTATTTATTAAATATGACTGAGTGATTGTACAAATTTGATATGTATTAAAATAGCAATGCACTGAGATCTTATTGACTAGTTTGTGGGGAGCGGGGGGCTGTATAATAAAGCATTTGTAACATAAAAGGCTTTTATCACTCTTATTTGACTTACAAGACTTCTGCATACACAGATAGATATTAGCTATTCATATATTTAGAAATCTGCCTGGCTGCTGCATTAATTGCCCTATTCCTGATCACCTCATATTTATTTTACTCCTTCCCTGTGCTTCTGCAGTGACAGTAAATTGTGTTGCATTCTTAATAGTGCTGATTTTTCCTTCAGTACACTGCATATCTAGCCTATTATGATGTTCTATGAGGAATCACAGCTTCTACTCCCACTCCAAATTTCGGTCATGCAGATAATTCTTAGGTGACTGACTTCACAAAACAGTTTGTTTCGGAAACATTTCTTTGAATATTTGTGGCATACACAATGACAGTTAATTTTTGATTTGGGAATGGACTGTTATCTTTTGTGTAGATCTATTATTTTTCTCTAGAAGTCTCATAATGAATAACTATTATTTTTAATAATTTTAGGGCTTATCAGATCCCGGTAACTATCATGAATTCTGCCGATTTTTGGCTCGATTGAAAACCAATTATCAGCTTGGAGAACTGGTAGTTGTGAAAGATTATCCAGAAGTTATTAGACTGATAGCAAGTTTCACTATTACTAGTTTACAGGTGAGGTAATAATAGAATGTTTTTGTGATTGATTTGATTATTTTAAAATGGGGGGATGTATAGAGTTTGATGAGTGATTGTTTACCTTTTGTCTGCCCAGAATATTCTAGGGTTGTCAATTTAGGGCTCCATCTGTTTTTTATAATACATAATCATGCATTTTTCTAATAAGAAGTGAAGAAAAAAAATCGCAAATAACATTTGTAATTGCTCGTGTTGGATTGAAGCTTACTCTAATGAAAATCTCATTTCTTTTCTTTATAGCACTGGGAATTTGCACCAAACAGCGTTCATTACTTGCTGACCCTTTGGCAAAGAATGGTTGCCTCAGTTCCTTTTGTGAAATCATCAGAACCCCATCTCTTAGATACCTATGCACCAGAAATCACAAAGGCATACATTACTTCTAGATTGGAATCTGTTTCCATGGTTATAAGGTAATCGAGAATACAGTTCGCTGTAGCTTCATAAGTAGCTCTATTGCACAAAGATACTTTTCCTTTCTTGATATCTGTTTTTAATTCAGGTAACTGCATTAATTTCGTTCCTGAAATATAAAAAAAGAGTGCTTCTGAAATCAGTTTGCTCCAATGTAAATTATCTCATGTTTCATTTATAAAAAAAAGTCAAATTCATCATTGTTGAATTAATCAGCCATCTTTCATCCTTTAAAAAGCACTTCCTTTTGACAAGGTTATGCTGATTTCAGCAGTTTGTGGATACTGATTGTAATTCATTTCAAACTGTCCAGTGATTTTCACATTGTCCATTATAATTTTTTATATGGATTTTAGGGAAGGTTTGGATGATCCCTTGGATGATACAGCCACAGTATTTCAGCAGTTAGAGCAGCTATGTACAGTTAGTAGATGTGAATATGAAAAGACTTGTGCTCTTCTTGTACAGTT